AAATTTAAAAACAAACCACAACGTTATCAACCATCATCTAGTACCTATGTTATTTTATTATATAACATTGAAGAAACAAAGTTAACTTTCGGGAGAGACTCTCCCGTGACCATGATTGCTGTAAAGCATTCGAAACGTCGGGAACCAAAAATCAAAATAAATCCGCGAAATAATCCGAAAAGATAGTTTTATTTAAAATGTAAAATATTCGCGTAAATCTAAGAAAGTATTAACTTTAAAGTATAAATATTGAATAAGAAATAATAGTATATCGTAATCTGTACAGAGGATTTACAATCGGCCAGTTTAGTGTGACATATAATGGCGAATGAGACGCGGCCGCGGATACGACGCAACAAAGTCCGCGGCATTTTCAATTGCTAGTGCTCTGAATATTCATACCTCATCAATATTCATGAACGCCGCACCGCGCCAATATCAAAATATTTTTCAATAATATCCTTCTCCGTCTGTCATAACTATACCGCTGTGTCGTTGGCTTTACATTCTTGCTTCGATTTTCTAAATGAACCTATTTTGCCTTTTTGTAACGTATTATATACGTAAGATATACGTTTTATAGTATTATATATTTACAGACGTACAATATAATTATAAGCTTTTAGTAACTACGAATAACGAACGTTTATTGCTAAGCTTAAAGCGAGCATTGCTATGCGAGGTGGCGTCTTAGTTATTAGTATTGTTTGCAGGAGACCGCAGCCGCCCGCCGCCGCCCGCCGCACTGCGAGCTATTATAATTACTTTCATCGGCCTCTAATTGCTTCCGCTTGGCACAGACTCCGCTGTTATTGCGATGAGCATGCATTACGAAGCCGACACGATTGAGTTACAATTCATAAAAAAAGCATTTCGCATGAAAATTTACGAAAACCATAAACGTTAATGTATCTGAGGGGAATTGGTATAATTAGTGCATTTTATGCGGCGCGACGCCACTGACCGCCAGCGTTGGGCGTCGCGACGCGGCATTCAAATTTCCGCGGGAGGCTAACGGTAACGGCGGCATAAATCCGCCTCTATCATATAATGCGGGAGTTTTTATTGAGGCGAGAACGGCATTCATTACTGAACAATTTATGTCTGCCGGCCTGCGCCCGGCCGCCCGCCCGCCCTCGCCCCGAGCCGCCCAGCCGCTATGAATATGAGATGACCTTTCTTTATATTTCATCGGTTGTTAAATTTCAAAATTGCTATGCTAACATTATGGCGCGTTAAATACGAGTGCTTAGGTGAAATTTTTCAGCACTTTTCGACGGCTAGGTATTGTGTACAGTTTAACTGGGACCATCATCTGCTACGAAACAGGGCTAATAATTTCACCGCCTCGTTTAATTTTAATATTCTCATAAATGTCTACTACAATCTCCTTGTTCAAGTGGTGCTATTTTATGTGATATATTTATGTTTCATTTGCATTATTTTGGTAAGTTTATACATTTTAACCGACTTTTTTCATTGTTCAAAATATGTTTTATATGTAAAAGTGTACAAATTTGGACAAAAGAATTAGACGAAAAATACAAAACTCTATCGATTATTAAGTGTATAGATGTAGATAACATTATTTATCCTGGAACTTGTTAATGATTGTATTTTGCTTAGGATTAATTTGCAAATAAAGCAGGTGTTAGTTACTAAAAGAAGTTCTGAGGAAGTTAGCAATTGATCTGGCTTCTTTGTAGCGAATTGGAAGGAGACGCTCATTAGCCTTTAAACTCCACTGCGTCGGCTCTGTGACGTCGTCTAGTACAGCTCACTCCACTCTGAGATCAGTCTACGATCAGTGCGAGTGATCGCATGATAAATATTTACTTTAACATCCCAATCATGGCGTATTTCGATTTATAATGGGGCGTGTTTTCAAATGACAATCGAATTACGAAAGACTTACGAACCTTGTAAGACAAACTCGATGTTCAAAGTGCTTGTACAAGGCTATTTGAATAAAATATATTTCGATTTGATTTGATAATTTCACTCCCCATGACGTTTTGTAGTCATTCAATTTGCACACGACCAGTACCAGTGGAATTTTGATATGATGTGGTTGTACGTGAGATTGACAAATGAATGGCATACCTTTATATTCGAACTTTGTTGACAGCGTCACGAATAGTAGCGAATTGAAGTACTGTTACCGTTAAACCATAGAAAAGGATTTTTATATAAATCAGTAAAGCACCATTCAGTGTTATAAAGCGATTCTGCTACATTTGTGTGTCCGCTGGTCTCATTAAGTAGAGCGTTAGTTAACAGTTCTAGATCCAATAATGAAGCGTTTAACGGCGGCGCTACAAATGCTGTTTTAGTTTAGCGAGTGGAGATGAGTGGAGCTAATTCCAGTTCAGTGCAGACTACCTACACAAGAAGGAGTGGCTCGTTAGGTGGTTAGATGTGGGTCCAGTCGCGGCACTAATCTAGCCAGTAAACATCCCGTTGAAGCTAAATAAATGCTCTCTGCTATCTCCCTAAACGAATAGAACATTAAAAACGTAGTGAACTTTGTTAGATACCCGTGCTTTATACTATTTTAAATTACGGCAGTAGTTCTAACTATATTATAAATTATGTAAGACACAATTTATGCTTATTTCGATTAAGTATTAAAATATCACAGAATACTTTCAAAAAAAGTTGAAAGAGAACAAAGTGTAATACTTATTGAAGAGAATAAAGACATTGCTCTACCTTGTACAACCGCGGGGGTCTAAAAATAATTAACATAAATATATATAGAATAACGTTCGCTGCTGTAAAAATGTATTTTAAGATTATAAATCGCAAAGAGATAAAAATACATGCACATCTGCGGTCGCGCGCAACCCGCGCGGCTGAGCGACGTCGCCCGCGCGTGTGTTCGCGAATACGAGGCGACCGAACGAGTCGGATACGACAAAGTTCGCGTTCTCGATTGCTAGTGCTCTGAATATTTTAAGGCCATCTATATTCATGACGCCGCACCGCACTCATATCTAAATATTTTTCAATGAAATCCTTCTCGCACTGTCGCAGCTCTACAGCTTCATAGGCAACTTTGTTTCGTGTCGGAGCTCTCTTTAAATTTAATTTCTATACATTTTCTAATAATAATCCAATATAAATTGTAATCCTGCGTCAAATACATTTTTTAAAATTTGTGTTTATATATTAAAAATAGTAACTATATTATTACTTTTGAAAGATAAGTGAAAATATTACAACACTATCTTATTTTTATAACGTAAAAACATAAAATCCGAAAACAAACATACCACAAAATGTATAAACATTTTTAAACCAAAATTCCGCAATTTAGAAGAAATAGCAAGAATAAAACAAGGTATTCCTGAAAAAATGTAGCCAAACGCCGAAATTACCTCTGAAAATAGAGAGCAGATACAACGAGGTAGCGAGGTGACGCCGATACCGGTTATTTATGTGCGAGAGCGACCCGCAGCAAGCCGCCGCGACCGCACTAAACGCGGCCACCGCAAATAACACACGCTTCAATTGTTCACTAACTAATGTCCTGCCCTTCGCTTCCGCCCAACCTAACTACTTCCGCCCGTTCTATCTTATGCATCTAATTCCTTCGGATATTGATTATTATATAGGATATATTACAACGTCTATACATATGTGTTATGTATAGTATATTACATTTTAATCTTTCTTTTTCCTTTTGCAGTCGCAAAAGATGTTACTCACTAATGATTTGTAATATATGTACGTATAGATTATATTGTATGAATACGAAGGCGGGCTAATGAGAGCGCGTGACGCTGCACTCCACTTCGCAATTAATTATTTGTCCCGCGTCCCCCGGACCAATCAAGGTCCTTCCCTCGTCCCTTATCCTCACATCACCCTCCTTCAGTATTCCGAAAAACTATTTCCTTTCAAACGCTAATTGCTTGTCGCCAGAAAGATTTACCTGCCTCGGCGGAAAATAACGAGCGATCTTGTGACTAACAAAGACATTTATGAGATATAATTATTCGACGCGGCGCGGTGTAGGTCGTAGGCAGTCTATTTCAGATATTGTAAAGAATTACTTCAGTGCTGCTCATTACAGTTGGCCTTTCATAAGATATGACATCTATTATTTTCAAGAAGTATTTTTTTTTCTTTGTAATTTTAATGAAAACTATGATACTAGGTAGGTATCTCGAATTGAATTAATTATGTTTACTTCCTTCTATGTTTATATCTTGTAATGTAAAGCAGCGGTTATACATCAAAGTACGTTCGTGAAAATGAACAAGTAAAGAGCGAAAACTACGAGCGTCCTGCAAAATAAATTAAGTAATGTAAACAAGTAGAGAACGCTATAAAGTGTCGTGTCAGCGATACAAAATTTACTGCAGCACTCCACGAGCGCGCTGCAAAAGTTTTATCTTGGCTGTCACGAGCTTGTCATGTTTCCACTGCTGATGTAGCTGGACTTTCGATTCGAGATGCTTTCGCGAGATTTCATATCGCAATTTTCTAGCGAAAATATCACCCTCGATGGATATTTAAAATTTATTTATCTTTGCACTTCACCATTTTATCTTTTTATTTTATTAAGTGCAAGGACTGCTTCACCGCTATCGTTACGTTGCTGTCTAAAGAATTTTATCTGCAATTAGATGAAACACAATTTGCTACGAGTCAGAATGACGGATGGCTCTATCTAGCAAACGTTTCCAAAATTCAAAATTCAAGATATTTATGGTGGACGTGGCTGGTCCATGCCCAATTACTTATTTGTCCGGTCCCGGCTTATGTCGCTCTCGCTCGGGCCGCTCATTAATCAATGTTTTTTCTTCGTCGGAGCGGGCGAGGGCGAGCAAATCCCGCGTGCAGCGAGTAAGCTGGTTGAAGATTTATGCACCCACTTGCGCTCCGGTGACCGCGAGCGACGTGTTAATGAATTCTGCCATTAATTCTTGAAAGTTATTGAATCGAGCCGATTTGTCTTTTAAGTAAATAAAAATGTACAATTTTTGTTTCAGGCGAAACTTCGAGTGCGCCGTGTTTGGCGGCCACCTCGCCGGGACGCACTGCACCGGCCCCTCTCACTACACCGGTAACATAATATCATAATAGGCATCAAATGTTATTTGTATTTGTTATTAATAATTTCGTTACTATTAAACTATCTAGTTATACTATGAATTTTGGATGTATACGACAACGGAATTTCACCAACAATGACGAATTCTCATAATTGTGATTCGTGTGTACATTTCACCGTCTGGAGATTGATATTTTTTCAGCCTGATAAAGTAATAATGACAAAATAAATTTGTAAAGACTTAAGAAAACATATAAATATACAACAGACGTAGTAAATAAGATTTGTTAACTATATTAGAGCTTTAGTCGTAAATAACTCAATAATAGAAAATTAGTTGTGCCCTTTAAAGTAGCACATATTTTACCTCCCGATCAGAGGAGATGCGAACTGAACAAGCAGCAATAGATTTAGGTGATTGGTCGTTAACGGTGACGGCGGCCATCAATCGGCATTCTCATCTCTTAAAAGCCTCTACTCCTTGCACGCGAGCGTGGCTTCATGCCAACATCTATCCCTTCATTAAGATATATTCACCCGTAGGCCATTTATATAGTTTGTTTTATTCAGAAGCTATTAATGTTTACGATTCTCAGCAAAATCTGATTCACTAATAACAACGCAGTTCATATTACACAGTAGTGACTCACACTTGCTTCGCTTCGAGTTCGTTTCCAAGAAAAAACAAATCTATCCCACGAGAATCTTAGATTTTTCCGGGATGATAGACCTGATATAGCCTTCCTCAATAAACGAGCTATCTAATGCAAAAAGAATTTTTCAATCGGATTAGTAGTTCCTGAGATTAGCGCGTTCAAACAAACAAACAAACAAACAAACAAACAAACAAACAAACAAACAAACAAACAAACAAACAAACTTTGCTTTTTTATAATACTTATTAGTATAGATTGTAGTGGTTTATGTTACTTAAGCTCTAATCCATAGTAATATTATAAATGTGAAACTGTGATTGTTTGTTTGTATATTTGTCTTTCTTTCACGTCGAAACGGAGTGACGGATTGGCGTGATTTTTTGTGTGGAGATAGTTGGAGGGCTGGAGAAAGACGTAGGCTTCTTTAAATTGCCGGATATTATCTCACTCCCACGGGAAAACACGCTATAATACAACCAAAAAACTATTTATTATCAGAACTTGAAACTTAGTATTAATGCTCTTCAATACAATTAAATAAATACATATTTAAGCATTCTTCGAAGTTCATCACATAAGGGTTAAAATAAGGGATGGAAGTTTGTATGAAACTCACAATTTTCGAGTTTTTTTGTAGTTTTAGCGCGAGCAAAGCCGCGGGTTCTGCTAGTATTACCATAAATATTCTATAAATAGTGAACACGGATGCACCTTCTACACTAAACTAAGCAAGTACTGAACACAAGGTATTTTATTTTATGAAGATAAAAATGAAACTTTTAAGTGATCTTAAATCTGATTTTCTTTTTAATTAAAAAAAAGCATTATTTCTTATTTTGACGACGCGTATGGTTCAGTCTGTGGTCATTACCTACTACTACTACTTGCGGTGCCAGCGGTCGCGGATTCGAGTCCCGCTGAGGGCATTCATTTGTGTAATGAGCACTAATATTTGTACTCCAGTCATGGGTGTTTATATTTAAAATATGTATGTATTTAAAGTTATATATGTGTAGTGTATCGGTATCCATAACACAAGCCTCGTAGCTTACCATGGAATCAGATGGTGATGTGTGTCAATGTCCCAACTTATTTATTATTATTTTATTTATATATTATTACATATATATTTAAGTAGTGTAGTGTATTAACTATCTGGTATCCGTACCCAAGCCTCGTAGCTTTCCATAGAACTAGATGGTGCCTCTATTCTATGTCCTTTCTAGGATCTCAAACTATCTACTTACTAAATTTTATCTAAATCGGTTCAGTACTTTCGGAGCGGATTCGGTACGAGCAAACAAACAAATAAACAAACAAAATCTTTCCTCTTTATACCTAATATTAGTATAGATATGCGAATGTAACTCTGATTGTCTGTCTGTTACGTTTTAACTCCTAAACCGCTGAACCAATTTTGATGAAGCTTTGAAGCTTGGTATAGCGAGGTATTTGAGCTTGGAGAAAGACAGAATATTTTTTGTTGCAAAACTAAAACTCGAAAGGAGTGAAATAGGAGTTGAAAACTTGTATTGTGAACAAGTAATTTCTTAAATTATGGACAAAAAAAATATTATATCCTATAATTTTGGTAAGAAATAAAGTAAATTTTGGGGTTTAAGCCCAATGAAGGTGAAAAAGGGGATGATTTCAAGTTTTAAAGTGCTTACTTACTTTTCTATACCTACGTAAATATACGTATAGTCTATCTATTTCATACTAACCATTAAAACGTGTCTGGGGACGAAGAACCCGAGCGAATCGAGGCCGAGTCGCTAGTAACATATTATGTATGTATAAATTCATTTACTCATCTAGTATCAGCCTATTATTCAAACACCTCAATTCCCTTTGCCAGTAATAACATTAGCAACGGCGCAGAAATTCCATTCAATAAGTAAAAATATGAATGTAAATGAGAGTCTAATTAAAAAGAAAATATGTTTTAACAAAATGTAGCGATGGCGCTGTGCTCCAACGTCTCCACTTGAAATAGGTTTTATCATAATATTATAATGAAAGGAAGAATGAAAATAAAAATAAATAGGTTTATGAAGTTGTTTACTTTTATAAAGATTTAGTTATTATACATATTATTAGGCAGTGGTAACGCGCTCGCTTGGGAAACCGAGTGAAGCGGGTTCAAATCCCGCGTCTCTTATACTGTTTGTTGTTGCACATCTGATATTTTCATGTGCGAATCATTTCTAACATGATTACTATTTGCCTTATGGTGTAGACAAACATCGCGAGAAAACCTGTATGTCTTAGAAAAACCTAGCAAGTTTTTGAAAGACATGTGATGTCTGTCAACCCGCACTTGGCCAGCGTGGTGGACTATGGCTGGATCCACCTCGTATTGAAGAGAGGCCCGTGCCCAGTATTGGGACGTTAAAAAGGGCTGAATACATACATACACAAATATTATTATTTTGACTAATATTTTAATGAAACCAAACTTAATTTACATAGAAGTACTTCTAACTTAATATCTTACTTTTCTTCTAAGCTTAGCCGCTGATTACAAAAGGTTAGAAATATAATTTTCTACTTTTCCTCCTTCATCAATAAAACCATTACGAGCTAGGAAACTGATTAATTGTATTATTATTATACGTTCCAGCGATAAAATACAATCCCGTGTTTTATTCTCTATCACTATGATATACACCAATATAAACCTTACTCCATGAGACAATCAAACCCGCGACCACCATTGCTTGTCTACTATCTTGTACCAGCCACTGCACTACGACGGTTCCTATTCAAATCTTTTCGAAATTTCCCGTTGTAAATAGTAATGTTACAGTCCACCGAAATAAACAGAGAGGCATCCTTCAGAGGATAGTCCCGGCCTTCTCTGATGTTAATTAAATTCTTTCACTCCGCCCGCGCGATTTTGTTCCCTTATATTAATTCTACTAAACTGAAGCTTTTGTGTACTGGACTTCCGTTTGATAAATCGCTACTTAAACAATTTAAATTTACTCGTTTTTATAAAGCGTTATATAAGCCCAAGTTTAGTCGTCCATACATACTCGTATAATAAAAGTGTAACTGATCGCTGTACATGGAAGTATTTGAAAAAAAAAACGATTATTGGGGGTATTTATTAACGCAAGAGAACCCAAAACAATGATTTTTAGAGTTTTGTCTGTGCGTTTATGCGCGCTAATCTCAGAAAAGGCTTTACCGATTTGGTTGCGGTTTTCACATTTCTGTGGTAAGCTTCACTTAACATATAAGTATATGTTTTATTACAATGGGCTTCATACAGGGCCGGATTTAACCTTAGTGCCGCCCCTGGGCACAGTAAAAAATGCCGCCCTGTTATCGAAATTTTGCATAAAATGGGTAAAGTTTCGATAAAGTTTAAATGTTTTTAATTATTAATATAAAAGTAATGTTTTTTTTTTACACCATCAGAAAGTAGACATTCCAACGAACAAAAAGCCTACCGACTTTTTTAAAAAAGCAGATATTTTGACGCGAGAATTTTCGAAAATTAGGGTGCTTTTTCGATATTAAGTCAAAATAAGGTGAAAAAACAAATATTTTAAATAAAAAAGAAACTGTATGTTTGGGACACAAAAAGGTAAGTTTTCCACAAATTTCGTGAAAAGAAAAATGTTTTTGTAAAATATAAAAATAAAAATCCAAAAACTTGGTTATTTGAATTTTTCACAAAAATTTGAGGTTATGTGAAAAAAGTGTAAATACAAAAGTTGTAGATATTTTTATAACCTACAACTTATTACTACTAACTTATAACTAGCTATTTAGCTTTTTTCCATAGACTTGTAGTTTTGCCGGAAATTGAGATAAGCCGTTTTATACCCTTAAAAACCCACCCCCTCCCACTTCCCGACCTCAGATCGCCCGTAAATAATTTTTCCTTTCATTCTTGTTATATTCTCTTCCTTTTCCAATGGCTTTCATCCTACTACTATATTTTTTTTTTCAATTTTTACCATTTTCAAAGGCTTCAACCCTGGTCTATAATGTTCTCTTAGATTTATGCGAATATTTGACATTTTAAGTAAAAGTATCTTTTCGGATTATTTCGCGAATTTATTTTTATTTTTGGTTCCCGACGTTTCGAATGATTCACAGTAATCATGGTCACGGGAGAGACTAAGGTTTTAAACGTCTCAAAGGCGTTATGTACTTGTTACAGACTGTGCCTTCCCACAATTTTACTAAAATGATTTAAAAAAATCAAAAATGGCACCAAAGTACCTTACAAGTTACAATATTTGTTGATTTTAAATCTAGACATTTTAAAATTGTTAATAAGTATTATAATTAAATATAGCAATCTGTTATTATTATAAATATTACAATTTTAAGAAACTT